ATATATATATGTATATGTATGTACAATCAATCAAGCAAGCAAACAGTCTTTGACTTTGACGTGTTGCGTAGTCTGTGATACATACATACCAACATACGCATACATAAATGCATATGCATGCATGCGCATATTATATATATATATACATTTGTATTTATATTTATATTGAATATGCAAGGCAGAGGGGGTGCAAGGTCGACGACATTGGCGGCAGCCAATAGATCGGGCAACGCCCTGGGGTTGCTGCCACAGGCCATGGCCCTGGCTTTAGCCATGGAGCGGAAGGCAATGCCACTGACCCCTGCATCATGGGACCCTCGTTTCTCCATCGGGCCGCGCAGGACCTGGTTGGGAGGCTTACCCGGCAACGCAGACGTTTTGCGGCCATTCCCCACGGTATGGCGTGTTTGTGGGGCACCCGCAGGCCGATGTTTTTCGGAGGTCGGGAGGGGTTCCGGAAGGCCTCAAATTGGTGCCGGCGCGCGTGCAATGATGCTGACGCGCGTGCGCAATTGGCAATGATGCTGGCCAGGATGGCGGCACGGGGAGGGACCAAGCGGGACGGGGCGCGCGCGCACGCATGCTCATGATGCAGGGGCGCGGCGCGCGCGTGCGCCCCCGATCCGCACGCATTGCCCCTTCCCGCGCCCAATGAAGAAAATCTAGAGACTAAGAGTTTATGGGTCTGGTTCAGAAGTCTGGTCCTAGGATGGGATGGTCGCCCTGAAACGTGCCTGCGTTGCCCGACTCTGGGCTTTGCCCCTTAAATAGATATCATATATTTCGTTCGTGTCTAGTTCCATTCTCGTATTCGTATCGACAAGGCTTGCTTTCGTTTATAACAAGGCAGTTGAAATATTTCATCTTTCCCGAAATTAGGTCCATTCTCTCTAGACGGACCGATTATTCCACAACTAATCAATTTTGTATTAGATCATACCACAGCAAACAGTTCTGGATTCGTTTCCATTCAGCTTTCAATTGTAAGATTGTCTCGAAGTCGAAGTAGTTTTTGATAGCCCAACCGCACTTTTCTTGCTTCATTAGATGCAGCATCCTCATTGGCGGTAGGTCCAGTGTCGATCTGCACCGAGATTGTCCAACACGATGCCTGGCTCCGAAGGCATGTCAACACCTCACTTTCCTGATCATCCGAACACAGCTACAGCGAAGTCCATCGTCCCCAAACTGCTTCCTCTACCTTTGCACATGGACAACGGATCTTGCTTTCATCAAGTCCAAGGCACGTCCCCAGGTCCAGACCTGCTCTTGCTCTTTGTGCCGAGCCATAACCTCATGCGAGAGTCTGAAAGCGGTCTTTCTCCGACTTTGAATCAACTTTTGTCCAGTGGCCGTTTTCACGAGGCCCTCGGCGCCACCGGCCATGACATCCGCTTTGCAAGCCAGGACCTCCAGTAACCTCGGATGCAAAGACTGCGTTCCGCAGCCCCGCTGGCCCCAAGAAAGCCAAGAAACCTGGCCAAGCTGGAGAGTGCCACCACCTGCACCAGGCCAACAGGTCTGACAGCGCGAAACAAAGACAGCCGCATCAAGTATCAATACCTGATGGACTTTCGAACAAATGCTTTGCAAGCTGGGGTTGATACAAGGCAGAGAACTCTCCCTGCCTGAAGAGGAACGGCCTTGACAAATAGGCGTGAACCAACCAAGTCGGTGGTTGGTATCATGTCATGATTGCATGCCGACGGCATCTTCATGACATTTGGGCATGGGCATGTTTAGCAGCACGATGCTTGTGAGCACCTCATCCCTGGGACATGGGCCTGCTAGCGTCTCTTACTGTTACTGTAATCGGATCGCACAATTTCCACACTGAGAACTCATCGATGTAACTGTTTTTTGTTTCAGGAGAGCGCAAGACTTGTGAGTACACATAGGAGGCACAGCAGCTCTGTGACACCGCGATGAATACACAGGTTTTGCACGGTCTCGCGCGTTTTCCTGTTCTCGCGCAACTGCCTGTGTGGTACCTCGAGGTGTCAACTTCGGGTTACGTTATGGTCTTCAATTGAAAGGTCTCAGGCGACGGCATCCAAGTGACGCTGCATGGAATCCTTGATCAGAAACACGATGCGAGCAAAGTCTAATTCGCACCTCGGCTGCTATGTGGAAACGCGTCTGGTATGCGCAAATCACACACACATGACCGCATGTATCTGCAGCTTTCCTTCCCCGGTGTGTTCCATGAGTTCAAGGCTTAGGCAAATGGACAGCTGAGCTGCAGCTTCTGAGTGGGTAGTGGCCAGTCCAGCACTGAAACCTAGCACATGTCACGGTGAAGGCCAATAGACCCAAGCATGCTGGGAAGAAGGGATTTCATGGCAGTCCGGGCATGTTGACGGATTCGGGTATAAGCGTGACGGTGACAACATCTTGCATCGGACAGCTTGAAAGGCAGCAAGCGTGAATCGCAAGATTGACATACCTAGCGTGTACGCAATCGAACAACGACAAACAACAGCAGTCGTGTGACTGGGAAGTCAAAACCTTTCGAGTTTCGAGCACTCTGTTTCTTGTTGCTTACGTGTGTCGGCTCGTGCCGGTTCGCGGGCTGCTGGGAACTCCGTGATTGCAAGGTGCTGAGCTCCTCTGACGACCTTCCATCACTTCTTAGCTTAGGCCCACGTCTTCGAAGGTCACGTACAAGCAATCTAGAATCTAGACTTTCGTGCAGTTGCGATGACTGCACTTGGAAGTCTGCGCAGCCGGCAGGTTGGCATTGAGCCGCAGGCCAAGAACGAGATGGAGCTGCAGCTAAGTGATGCATCCTTAGACATGCACACTTGCAGTCTTAAGTGTTTTATCCAAGGACGTGCATGCAAACGGGACGGCATGTATGATTCATGCTAACTTCGACTGCTGTTCTTCTGCATGCACCTGGGACCATGCTTGGGTGCTGCTGGACTACGAGTCATAAACCGAGTTTAGCAAGAGCAGTTCATGGCCATGGGATGTCTCGTCGATCCGAGCTTCGTCTCCAAGTGTACTCAGCGCTTTCTCAACCCGCCTCACACCGCTCACCTCTGCTATGGCCATGGGACCACTTCGCTTCCGGGCCTGCCAACTGTCTCTGTCAGTCATGCAAGGGGTGGTTCAGAATCTCTCTCTTCACTGAAAGGAGAAAGTCTTCTGTCCGAGAGGCCAAGGCTGCCAGTGCAGCGATGCCCTGACACTGCACGCTGAGCGAAGTTGTGTGCACGTCCATGAGGGCAGTTGTTGCAGTTGTGATGCCTTTGACCAAGCTCTGACACACCAGAGCTTCAGACAGCTCCTTGTTTCCCTTCGTATCAAGCAATTCCGCGAGCATCCAGAGCCAACCCGCCGCCGTGACTTCTTCCGAGGGGTCCTTTCTCATGGAAAGCGGTGCCGAGGCGAGAAATTGCTCGGCCAGGAAGGTCGCCGGCACGAGCTCACCCTGAAGGCTCTGAAAGAGCATCTCCTTGAAGGAGTTCGCACGCTTGTCTGAGAGACTCAGCTGAAACTGCGCTCGGAAGAGCTCCGGCGAGAGCCTTGGCCGCTCCGTGGCCTCGGCCACCAGGATCCGGGCCATCGCCTCGAAAGCGAGCTTCGAGCCTTCCTCCTTCTCTGTCTCAAGCAAAGCCGGCAGGACCTGAATCGGCAGGAAACGGACCGCTTCGGCGGAGAAGCAGATGTGACAAAGGCAGCGCAAGGCCAGGATCTCGAGAGAATCACGATGGAGGCGAAGAATTCGCAGCAGCTGCTCTATGCAGCTCCCCTTCGCCTAAGCTGCACATCCAGCGTATCCATAGTGACATTGTCCAGATACTTGCGTGCTTCTGCTCTCGTACCACCCCGGATTCCCTCTCTCCCGTGCTATGGCTCGAAGGGCCCCCAAATAAGCTCGAGCTGATCACGAAACGTTTGGCTAAATGCTACGGAACCTCACCATAGCGCAGCACTGCAAATTTTCCGGAAACCCCCGACTGAGCTTCCCGACCACCTCCACGGGCTCACTGTAAGCAAGGGAGGCTAAGGCTCGGAGGGCTTTGGCAGCCTCGTAAGGGACGGCCTCGTAATCCAAGAGGTGCTGGCTCCTGGGCAAATATGTAGCAGCAAATGTATGTATGTATATGTATGTATGTACGTACGTACGTACGTACGTACGTATGTACGTACGTACGTACGTATGTATGTATGTATGTATGTATGTATGTGTAGGGCCCGAGTCGCCTGTAGCCAG